AGGTATATGTGGCGTTCTGAGTTAGAGGTGAGGTGAGGTGCCTTGGGGCCTCAGAGGGGAAGGAGGTCAATCAGATATTCAGTGATTAGAACTTTACTCTGCCTTACTGATTGGTCATTAAAAGTTATTTCTGATGGTAACTATTTTGGGCAAGATACCTAAATATAAGTTCTTTAAGAGGGAGAGAAACATTTCTCTTAAGCCCATAGGGTCTTGATTGCTTTCAGTTCAAAATAATCCACATGCCAAAGTGGCACATCTTAGGGAAGCCTGTTCTGAACCCTTTCAGCATCCTTATACCAGGACGGACTATAATGATTCTACACAGAAAGTACGTTGAACACATCAGCATTTCCCACTAAACCCAAAGCGAATGCATTTTAAATCAGCTTTCCTTCAGCTAGTAAATCTAGTGTCATCTGAGAAGAGGGAAAGTATAATGGAGTGTAGGAGTGGGAAGAGACAGCACTCTTAACTGATTGTGGTTAGTAGAGGAAGAAAAATAATTTTCCCTCTACCCTTCTGAGTTTTCTGCTGAGAGCCCTGTAATGAAAGATTAACAAGAGAAAAGCAAATAGAAGTTTATTAGCATGTAGACCTGAGGGAAAGTTCCGCCAGCTTAAAATATTCAGTATGCCAGAGTGCCACATTTTGAGGTCCCGTGTCCGGAACCCCGTCAGCTCTGTGGTAAATCCTCCTCTGACGGCACTACTTCTGTCTCCCGTCCTCCCTGTTGTTGCCAACCTAAATGATTCTTCCCTCTGGCCCTCTCCCTTTCCCCTGTCCTGCACCTGGTAGAAGGAACCGGTCCCCATTGCCTATCTCATTTGGGGAGATGTGTTCCCAGTACCCTGGGTTGAAATTCTGCATACGTATCCCACAGAATCATTACTATATTGTGATGAGGTTTTTGGTCCATTATGGGTTAACTGAACCTTTTTAAACAGCTACCCTGGGCACCTTGCCAAGATGTATAAATAGCTTTGTTTTCATGGGAAAATGTGCTTAAAGTTCCAAACAACTAATTCACACATGAACTGTTCTATAAATTGGAGAATGTCTACATGAACTCCTGAGGCATAACAGGAGGACACACAAGTCCAGGCTGTTCTTGGTCACATTTGGCTGATTTGTTTGTAGCTGTATTTTGCTTACTCAGGTTAAGTTTGTCACTCACTTTAGGGAGTAAACTTAGCATGTTATGATATACTTTGCTGTCTTTCACTTATCCCCACCTCCCCATTCAAAAGTAGTGTGTGAAACTGAAAACTGAGATTATACATTTTCAGCAGCATCCTTGTTTTTTAAAGACCAGTTGTTTCTACTGATCGAAGAGTTAGCCCTATTTAAATCATCTTTGCTTCCAAACCATTAGGACTTAATAAAGAGCACTCTACTCTTATGATGTGGCTGCTCACATCATAAGAGTAGATGTCCCTCCACAAGTGTGTGGTCTGAAGGGAATTATACAGGTCATTGACTTTTATGTTAGAAGGGTGGAGAAACTAAACATAAGCTTAAATTAGATTGGAAATGCCAGTTCTTTTTTCATTGACTCCGAGAGTATATGTTCATGACCATCATTTCATAGGTGATGAATTTGAGGCGTATATATCCAGGAGTGGGAGAGTTGGGACCAGAACCCAAGTTTCTAGGAGCCTAGCCCTGGCATTGAGATTTCTGAGACTAAGCCGGAATATAGGAACTTGAAAAATGATTCCCTACTTCTGGATCTCTTGCTGTTTTGTAATATATTTTAAATATTTTTTATTTGTAAGGTAATTAGGGTGTTAATACCCTTGCCTCGTAAGATTGTAATACTGAAAAATGTGATTGTAGAGACTCAGGTGCCCAAATGCTAAATAAAAAGTGATTCAGTTAGGGGGAAAAAAAAACCCCAAAACGCCAACATTGCTATAGTTCCTTAACGTATTTGAGGGAGAATTTGGAGATTAGGCAGAAATGACATAAAATTAAAATACATAAGCAGTGTAATAATTATTCATACTTTTCTCCCATACTTTATATATCTGCCACAGTGTAATTCCCACTGACTTCAAAAGAAGCTCTATATGTGGACTTAGGAAGTAAGACCGAAATGAGATAAAAAAATCTTGGTAATTTTGAATTATAGTGCTTTTTGCAAATTGAGTATTTCCTGGGCATTTGCTTTATATAAACCAATAAGCAACACAGCACACCCTTCTTTAAACAAATAGACTTCTACTTAATGAGGTTTGAGTATATGTTGTAACGATTATAGCAACTGTGGAGAAGGCATTCCTGCTGTATAGCGCATAAGCGAAGGGCCACTGGGGGTAAGCACAGCAGTGTTTTCCCTTTGTAGTGAAAGTGCTTTGAAGAGTACAAAACAAGAATAGTTAGTTCAGCCACAGGACTTCAAACCATAGAGAACCAACTGACTTAGTGCTGGCTTGAAAGTTTATTTTGCCTGCTGTCCCTTTGTGGGACTTCCTTTGTTTGAAGCAAAGTACAGGCCCGGGTTGAACCTGCACAAAACGTGGAATTTGCAGGGCCAGAGAATGATGTGTCCCCAGAGCTTTTTTACAAGCTGAGCAACGGTGTGTAGCAACTTCAGTGTGCTTGTTCCGTGCCTGTTTTGTAGTAGGGCTCCATCAAGTGGCAACATCAGGAACTGAAGCTGCTGTTGCAGCTCTCCCTCTTTCGCCAAGTACTGCTGAGAAACATTTTCGCTTCTTTATTTGGAGGAAAGAGACTGCTTTGAGATATAGGGACGCAATGTTATATAGGGAAACAAGAGTTATGGGGAAGCAATGAAATGACAATAATGAGGTCGTAGACATGTCTGGCAGTTGGATCCTTAAGCAGCCATTATATTTGTGATCCTCTTAAATCCAGCATTCTCAGATGGAGAATTAGAAATTAAAGTCCTTTGCTTTACTGGAAAAAACTTGAATGCAGTCTTTCAAATAGCCAGGTGATTCCCTCATTTACAGTAATAGTAATTGTTGCTTTAACTGTAGGATCTAATGCTGATTTAGCTGATGTTTACAGTCAAAAAGCTTTGACCAGACACCTGCTGCATCCAGGGCAGTATACCCAGTGACGAGATTATGTGTGTCTCTGCCTCAAAGTCTTGCAGAATAGCTTGGGAAACCAGAGAACGAGGGAAAATTAACAATGTGACAAATGCCAAATGCAGAGGCATGGATAGCAGATTCAGGACTATCTCAAAGGTATTTATTGTGCAGGAAGACTGGGACTTGAGCTTCAGGGGAAGAGACCTTAGCGGGAAGGCATATAAGAGTTTGAAGAATGGGCCAGGGGGCATGGGACTTGAGGGTAAGACAGGTTGGAGGGTCTGTTCAGGAAATAGTGAGAGGGGTCAGGGTTTAGATAAAGATTAGATTGTGAAGAACTTAAATGAGAGTTTGACTAGTTAGTTACCTTAGAACAGGCGAAAGTAAGAGGGTAAATATGGATGAATTAATCTTTAGGTGTATATGAGGCAGTTTTAATGTTTTTCCCCTTCATTGAGGAAGTACTAAGCAATTAAATGTGCGAATTGAAGGATTTTGGAAGAGTTGATCTTTAAAATTTCTTCTATTTACAATTTATAATTTTGTGAAATTTAAGGTAACTCGTAGAAGGAAAAATGTGCAGGGAAGCTTTTAAAATTACATTTAATGGTATTAATTTCAAAGGGAACAGTTGGCTCAGAAACTTGACTAGCAATTTTGAAGATCTAAAGAGTGACAACCAGCCTTCTGTGATTTGGGTAAGAGAGGAAAGATAAAATGAAACTGTGGTTAAGATTGTAGGGGAAATATACGTTCTAAGCTGTGGTGTACTTGCTAGAGTCAGGTGGCAAAATTCTGTGTACTTTCTAGCAGCCAAGTCAAAGAGGAACCCACAACAAGCAGTTATACAATTTGTAGTGACAAATAAAGGCACAGCTACTACCACCACTTAATCTCAGAAAAATGTTTTTCTGTATGCACTCATAAAGAGAATTCTCATGAAGAATTCTCTCAACAGTAATCCTTAGCTAATGTGTCAAATATCAAACTGTCACTATAATGTCCCTCAGCCTATATTGGTAGCGTAAGAACAGAGTGCAGTTCAGTACAAACAATTGTCTGGGGACCTGAAACTGTGTGGCCTAAGGATGGCAATTCACTGGAGCTCTGGCTTAAGTCAAGAATAAAGTTTAGTAAGAGTACGTAAAGCAGTGATTCTTGAGATTCTGTTTTGGGTCACACATGCCTTTGGGAAATTGGTAATAGGCCTGGATCCCTCTCCTCCCCGATGCACATATTCATAATCACACCAAATTTTGTGTGTTATTTCAGTCTATTCTCATGGTCAGAGGGTTCACACCCTTAGGCCTCTTGCCCTCACGCATCCGTAAACTTCGTGATGCACACTCTTGGACTGGAGCTGCAGGCGGGCTGCGGTAATGAAACACGGTGAAAACCTGGAGCACAAGGATGTTTGTACTGATGAAACAGATTCATCTGGTGTACCAGGCAGCCAAAGTGAGGCTAAGATTGATTTCCATTTATGAAAGTCAATGAGCTTGATGGGACATGTCTGAACAAAAGATATTTATTCCACTTTGGCAAGAATGTGGTCAGGAATGTGATTTTTCTTAGAGAGCAACTAAACCTACTCCAACACGTTAAAAAGGATCCTAGAGCGCTCTGTTACAGAGAAAAATTGTTAAGGCAGATGTTACTGAGAACCATCTGAGCTTCTTGAAAAAATACAAAGTGTTGGTATTTTTGGTATTTGATATTCTTGGTAGAGTTCGTAGAATGTCGTGACTTGAAGCATTTATAGCTTATTGGTGAATTTAAAATAAAAATCCTTGTGTAATAGAATCTTCAGAAGCTGAATGATTTTACTTGCTTTTGGGATTATTTATCTTTGAGCCAGTTGCATGTTGAAAACGTCTTGTTTATTTGTCCAGTTATATTGGCTTAATGTTTTCATTAATTGTTTCTTTTGCATTGCAGTGTTTTGATCTTGGGTGCTTCAGGTGGAGTTGGTACTTTTGCTATACAGGTAAACAATTTTTTTTTCTTTTAATTTTGAAAAGTGATTTACCCATGCTGTTCTAGGGCCTCTTGTTGTAGAAGTAATTACATAAACAATAGAAATAATAAGACTGGTGATGATGATGATGATGATGATGACAATGATGATGATAGCTTAAGACTTATTCTGAGTCACATATTGTACGCTGGCACTTTACAAACATTAGCTGTTTAACCCTGCCAATTTTTTTTTGAAGTAACATTGGTTAATAACACTGTAAATTTCAGGTGTACAACATTATAATTCAATATCTATACATTGTAGCATGCTCACCATCAAAAGTCTAGTTTCCATCCATTACCATTTATTTGGCCCTGTTGATCCATTTTACCCTCCCTTCCCTTCCCTTCTGGTAATCACTATTTTATTGTCCCCGTCTGTGAGTTTGTTTGTGTCTTTTTTGTTTTATATTTCACATGTGAGTAAAATAATACAGTTTTTGCCCTTTTTTATCTGACTTTTTTCACTTAGCAAAATACTTTTAAGATCCATCCATGTTCTTGCCGTGTTACAAATGGCAATATTTTGTCTTTTTTATGGCTGAGTAGTATTATATGGTGTGTGTGTGTGTGTGTGTTCAATATATATTTTTATTTGGTTTCTTTTTGTTATTAGTTGTATGAGTTCTTTATATAGTTTGGATATTAACTTCTTTTTTTTTTTTTAAACCCTCACCTGAGGATATGTTTATTGATATTTTTGGGGGGGTGGGAGGGAGGGAGGGAGGGAAGGAGGGAGGAAGAGAAAGACAGAGAAACATTGATTGGTTGCTTCCTGTACGCACCCCGACTGGGGACTGAAGCCGCAACCTAGGATTGTGCCCTGATCAGGAATTGAACTTGCAACATTTTTTTGGTGTATGGGGTGATGTTCCAACCAGTTGAGCCACACAGCTAGGGTGGATATCAACTTAGCAGCAAATATTGCTCCCATTCAGTTGCTTGCTTTTTTGTTTTGTTGATAGTTTCCATTGCTGTGCAGAAGCTCTGTTATCTGATGTAGTCCCATTTGTTGTTTTTGTCTCCCTTGCCATTAGAGTCCAATCCACAAAAACATCACTAAGATCAGTGTCCACAAGGTTAACACCTATGTTTTCTTCTATGTATTTTATGGTTTCAGGTCTTATATTTAAGTCTTTACTCCATTTTAAGCTTATTTTTGTGTACAGTATAAGATAGCGGTCTAGTTATATCCTTTTGCATAGGGTTGTCCAGTTTTCTCAACACCATTTATAGCAGAGAATTTTCTTTCTCCACTGTATGAGCATATTATTGGCTTTTTCATCATAAATTAGTTGTCCATACGTATGTGGGTTTATTTCTGAGCTCTCAATTCTGTTCTGTTGGACTGTGTGTTTTTTCTGCTGGTACCTTACTGTTTTGGGGTTTTTTTTTTGTTTGTTTTTATTACTATAGCTTTGTTGTATAGTTTGAAATTGGGGAATTGTGATACCTCCATCTTTGTTCTTTTTTATCAGGATTGCTTTGGCTGTTAGGAGTCTTTTTTCTTTTTCCCTCCATACAAATTTTAGGATTTTTTTGTTCAATTCATGTGAAAAATGCCATTCAGATTTTTATGATAAAGATTGCATTGAATCTGTAGATTGCTCTAGGTAATATGGAATTTTAACAATGTTAATTCTAATCCATGAGACAGGAATATCTCTCCATTTCTTTGTGCTATCTTCAGTTTCTTTAAAAAAAAAGTAAAGCAGTTTTTGATCTTGTTAATAGATAATTATATTCATGAATTTGTAAATTAACATAAATTATTTTTTCTTAAAAGCTGAGGGAAAGGTAGGTTCAGTAAGTTCACTGTAATTTCAACTTCCTCTTCTAAGAAGGGAATTTTCTAATATGGAAGGAAGTGTTAATCTTTCCAGTGGTTAACATATGAATTACTTCGTGGATGTCCTGTATAAGAAGTGTAGGAGAGGTTTTAAGGAAGATCATGGGCAGAGCAGATGGGTGGGAGTTTGCAATTTGGTAGAAATTGATAAGTTGATTCTAGAATGTATATAGAGAGCAGTAGCCAAATACTGTAACAATGGCAATACTCTCCTAAAGTGATCTACAAATTCAGTACAATCTTATCAAATGATGGCTATTTTGCATAAATGGACAAACTGATCCGAAAATGCATATGAAATTGCAAGGGACCCAAAAATTGCCAAACAATCTTGAAAAAGGACAAAATGGAAGACGCACATGTCGTAAAACTTACTACAGAAATACTATAATCAAAACAATGTGGTACTGGCATAAGAATAGACATATAGATCAATAGAATAGAATTGAACATCCAGAAATAAATCAATATCTGTGGTTAATTTTGGACTAAGGTGGCAAGGCCATTAAATAGGAGAAAGAATAGTCTTTTCAGTGATTGTCACTGGGATAATCACATGCAAAAGAGTGATTGGACCCCTTCCTCACATTATATATGAAAACTAACTCAAAATGGGTCAAAGGCCTAATTGTAAAAGCCAAAACCATAAAAGTCTTAGAAGAAAATGTAGGAATAAATCATCTTGGATTTGGCAAGAGATTCTTAAATATGATACCAAAAGCACAAACAACAGAAGGAAAAAAAAAGATAAATTGAACTTCATCAAAATGATGACATCAAAGGACATTATCAAGAAAGTAAAAAGACAGCACACAAAATGGGAGCAAATATTTGCAAATCATTTATCTAAATAGGATATAGTATCCAGAACATGTACAGACCTCTTACAACTCAACAGCAAAAAGACAACCAAATTAAACAGTTAGAAAGGACTTGAATAGACATTTCTTTAAAGGTATACAAATGGCCAGTAAGGCCATGGAAAGATGTTCAGTATGATTGGTCATTAGGGAAGTGCAAATCAAAGCTACAATGAGATAGCACTTTACACATACTACAGTGGCTTTTAAGAAAAGTGGACAATAATGTTGACAAAGATGTAGATAAATTGAAACTTGTCTATTCAGTGGTAATGTCAAATGGTGCAGCTGCTATGGAAAACAGTTTGGCAGTTTTTTAAAATGTTAAACATAAAATTAACATGTGACCTGGAAATTCCATTCCTAAGTATATATTTAAAAGAAATGAAAATACATATTCAAACAAAAACTTGTACATAGGTGTTCATAGCAGCATCAACATTCATAATAGCCAAAAAGTAGAAGCAACTCTAATGCCTATCAACTGATGAATGGATAAACAAAGTGTGTATATACTCTGTAACATATTATTCACGTATAGAAAGAAATGAAGTTCCGATGCCTGATACAACATGGATAAACCTTCAAAACAGTTTGCTAAGTGAAAGAATCCAGACACAAAAGGCCACATTTTGTATGATTGCATTTATAGCATATGCAGGAGAGACAAATCTATAGAGACAGAGAGCAGATTAGTGGCTGCCAGGGGCAGTGGGCAGGAGGGAATGGGGAATGACTACTTGATAGGCATGGGTTTATTTTGGGGGTGAGGAAAATGTGGAAATAGACAGGGTTGATAATTGCCACAGCATTGTGAATGTACGAAAAGCTACTGAATCGTACACTTTAAAATTGTTAAAATGGTGAATTTTATATTGTGTGAATTTTACCTCAAAACAGAAAAATCAAACAATGCCCTTAGCCTTCAGGAATAGAGTGGCACCTAATGGCCGTTACTGCTGTGGTCGACTCTTTCACTGGCCGGCTCCTGGGGGTCGGGGCTTGGTAGAGTCCCCTTCCCCAGTATGGGGCTAGTGAGCACACTCAGGGGCTCTGCCACATTGCTTTCCAGGAGGGAGAATTGGGGCCCTATGTTCCTCCCCATACCCTGCTTCAGACCTTTTGAGGACCCAGATAATGCTGGAGTTTCCTGTCTATCTGCTCACTGAATTGCGGAAGAGCGGGGAGTACTCCTAGGAGATGCACACTTTGACTTATTTTTAATTCACCATTAGAAACTGCTATGGTCTGAACATATGTGTCCCTCCAAAATTCATATGTTGAAGTTTTAATGCCCAATGTGATGGCTTTAGGAAGTGGGATCTTTGGGAGATGGTTAGATCATGCAGGCAGAGCCCTTGTGAATGAGATGAATGCCCTTATATATAAAAGGGGCCCGGCAGAGCCCCCTAACCCTTCCGTCCCTTGAGGACACAGAGAGCGGGTGCTGAACCAGGAAGAGGACTCTCTCTGCAAAAGGCAACCATGGCTGATGCCTTGATCACAGAGGTCCAGCCTCTAGAACTGTGAGAAATATATTTCTGTTGTTTATAAGCCACTTAGTCTGTGGAAAAAGCTCGTAGACATGGACAACAGATTGCCAGGGGGAGAGCAGTGGGGGGAAGGGGAGCAGCGGGGATGAGTGGTGATGGAAGGGCACTTGACTTGGGGTGGTGAACACATACTAGAGTGTACAGATGGTGTGTTCTGGAATTGTACAGCTGAAACCTGTATAATTTTGTTAACCAGTGTCACCCCAATAAATTCAATGAAAAGAAAAAACAATTGCCTTATGGCCACCCAACAATTCTACTCCTAGAGATACACTCTGTATATAGATATACATACATATTCACCAAAAGATATTATCAGAATTATTAATACATATATTATTCCTAACTGGAAACAACTCAATGCCCACCAAGAGTAAAATGGATAAGTAAATTGTGATATATTTTTACATTGGAATATTACACAGTCATGAAAAACACAGTCCCTCACAATGAAGTAGATGAATGTCACAAGCACAATGTTAATGAAAGAAGTCAGATGCAAAAGAATACAACTGAATGACATTCAAGAATAAGTGAAACTAAACAATAGTGTTTAAGGATGCCTACCTAGATCGTAGAACTTAAAAAAAAAAAAAAAGTTTATGAAAGTCCTGATAGAGGTTATTACAAAACACAGATCTCTTATATTCTATTGAATCACTGCAACTTATATTAAGGAAACTCAGGAAATTAATATCCTGGACAGGATGGAGAAAAGAGTTGATCTCTTATGAACTCTAACTATCAGTACAAAAATTTCTTGGTGAACTTCAAGTAACTATTCTCAGAGTAGGCTGATAATGGCTCCCTTTTAATTCTGTGAAATTGTCATAGAAAAGAATTAAGGCAATTTTGGAGCAGGATGCTTTCTGGATACTTAATCCTGAATCATGTAGTTCTTATTAAATTTAAGTCTAATTACTCCTTATTATTTTTAAATTATAAAGCATCCTTATTTTTATGTCTTGGGAATTATATTGTTAGGTTTTTGGGTTTTTTGTGTTGTTTTTTCTTTTTTTTTTTACATCGAAGGCAATCCATTTTTAAAAATGAATGGCCGTATTTTCTTCACTTCCTTTTAAGAGCACCTTTTCATTTATTACCTAGTGCTAAGAGCTGGTTGCTTTGATACAACTGTCTGACTGAAGAATATACTAACTTATTGGAGATGCAAATGAAGAAATGTTGCATTTTTATGTTCTGAATATATTTAAAATTGTCACTTTTTGAGGACCTGTGATTGGGTAGGGGGCATTTACCTTTGTCATCATTAAAAGACTAAACGAGGCTACCAACTCCTGTCTTTTCTAGTACTAGTGAGGCATCGAGCTGCTCTCTAATTGATAAAACTTTGTGACAATGTAACTGGCTGTCCCATCCAGGGAAAATGAGATCTATTTCTTAGAATTTTTTATGTGAAGAAAAGTTGAATCATTTTTACTAATCTCTGACAGATTGCTTCCTGTAGTTCTTGTTAAGACAGAGCACTTAGAGTTCTCTAGAGATTAGGCCAATATCTGTATACGTGGTGCCAACTATTTAAAAAAACGCAGTCAGTTTTCTACTTCCTTACACCCCACCCCCTCCTTTTTTTGGCAGGTAATGAAAGCATGGAATGCTCGTGTGACAGCAGTTTGCTCTCGGGATGCCAGTGAACTTGTAAAGAAGCTTGGGGCAGATGACGTAATTGATTACAAATCTGGAAATGTGGAAGAACAGTTGAAATCTTTAGAACCGTATGTATTAGAACAACGTCACATTGGGAAGGCGGGCACAGAGACAGTGGATAATGCAAGCCTGAGAGGGTTTGGTGGTGGTAGGATTATGCTGCAATCTTAGAGAAGAATCTGTGAAAACACTCCGTGTCATTAGAAATCATTTAGGTTGGTTTCTGTTTTAATTTCAGATGTTAATACTGCACAGTAACATGATGAGATATGTACTGATGAAGATGTTTTGCTTACGTAGTCTTTTGCTAATTTTTAAGTTAACTTTTATTGCTGGTTTGTAACAGGTCTGAAGGCGAAACCGGACATGTGTTCCTTTTGGTGGTATCTGTCACCACAGGAAGAACTAAGAGCAGTGCATGAAAATTTATGATTAGCACTAAACATTCTTTTAGTGTTTTGGCTTAGTAAGGGCTTCACAGAAACAAAGGCAGCATAACTACTGGTAATGGGAGCACTGTGAACGTTAGCGCTGTGAATGTTGTCGTTGCATCTGAGTGGCAGGCTGTGGTAGCCTAGTGTGCCAGACAGGAGCAGAGTCTGACGTTCTCTCAGGCCCTGTTGATCTGACTGTGGCACAGGCAGAAATAGAGGGGGTGCTTATGCATCTGGTCTTCATCTGGCCAAGACAAAACTGAAACTGAGAGCATAATCTAGGACAGCGATTTTCAACCTTTTTCATATCATGGCGCACATAAACTAATTACTAAAATTCCATGGCACACCAAAAAATGTATTATATTTTTTGCTGATCTGACAAAAAAATATTGGTGTAATTTTGATTCATTCACACCAGACAGCTATTGTTGTGTTGGCTGTTGTCATTTTTTTATTTGACAAATCTAAAGGACAAAAGGTCAGTGCCCCTGACAAAATAGTCAGGTAGAGCATGTTTTAACAACTCCTGTAGCACAGCAGTGTGCCTACTGTGGCATGCTGGTTGAAAGTTGCTGATCTGGGAGGATTTGGAAAGCTGTCTTACGCTTTTTCAAAGGTTTTTCTCTTTCTGGTTACTTTTCAGAGGTCAGTTGTTCTTGCCCACTTTGTATAGAAGTATTTTCTTGGCTTCTAGAGAGTAGTAGTTTCAGTTGATGTCTTACCTTCTGCTGCCTCTAGGAATAGCAGTAAGAGACTGAGGTCAAGGCCAACCCGTCCCCCTCTATCTACTTTAAGTTTATACATGTCTGGAGTATGTCACCAGGGAACAGAGAACCTAACAATGGAAGGCTGCGGCCCACTCAGACCGGCCTCCGCACCTGTGCCGCAGTTGCTCCTCCGCACCTCTGGCGAGAGGGAGAGAGAGGGAGAGATTGTGTGTACACATATGTACATATATATAACAGTTTTAGTTAAAATTGATCTTGAAACCTTAAATTTGGCGTGTGTGTGTGTGTGTGTGTGTGTACATACATATGTATATACATAACCGTTTTAGTTAAAATTGATCTTGAAACCTAAAATTTGGCCTATGAATCCACCTGGAACAAATTTGTTCCTTTTAAATCACAGTTTTTTAGATTTGAATCTTAGAATATTGTAGCAGGAAAGGGCTTTGAAATTCTTAAGTTCAGCTCTGTCATGTTATGTTTGAGAAAATCAGGGGTAGATGGTTTATAAGTTTTGCGTGCCCAAGGTCATGCCACTTAATCATAGTTGGGAGAACTGTGTCTACAACCTGGTCTCCAGACCTCTTTCAGGTGGTGCCTGTTCTATAATACCAGGTGGCCCTTAAAATCTGGGAAGGAAGCAGAAAATTAAAAGCAGAAAGTGTAGAAACTTAAACGCATAAAATGAATTTTTTATTCTTTTTAATGGAAAGAATAGTTTTCTAGTAAGGCCATTTTCCTGCACTCACATCCCCATTTTTATTTGCCCTTCTTTAGTTAAGTCTCATGAAAGACTCAAGATCCACAAAGTTGGTCAAAGCTGATTTTAGAAGCGTTGATGTTTGACTTCATCCAGATGAATTTAGAAGAGAAAATAGACTTATCAAAAGGAATTTATCTATCAATTTGCTTAATTTATAAGCATGCATTCTCTAAATAGATCTTTGCTTTTGTTTTAAAAAGTATTTAGAAGCTTCATTGGGTTTTATTCCCTTTAAGTAGAATGTTGTGATTATAGCAGTTTTAGATTAGACTTAAGGAGCTGAATATCTTTTAGTTCCTGTGGATTCCATTATGACTGGATTTTTTTTTGGCATGTTAGAGCAGAATTGAAGACTGAGAGCAGGCGATTGATTTCTCTTTATACATTGTCTTGATACTATGCATGAAACAAACAAAAAAGTAGAACATTCCCAGTGAAGAGGATTCTTCTATAAGCAATTCTGAACTGTAGAGGGATTGAAAGCAAATAATTCTTGGGTGAAAACCTTATGTACCTGTCATTCCAGTATTTCTGCACGCTGAAGAACATTTTGACTTATATTGAATGGATAGCTTTGCAGGTTTTTATAAAACTTGAGTCAGGGTTTCTCAGCCTTGGCAACCTTAGTTTCTCAACTATTGACTTTTGGGGCTGGGTTATTTTTTGTTATGAGGAGCTGTTTTGTGCACTGTAGGATGTTTATCATCATCCCTGGCCGTTAGTGGCCTCACTACCTTCCACAGTTGTGACACCTAAAAATGTCCCTAGACATTGCCTAATATGTCCCCTGGGAGCTAAAATCACCCTTGGTTAAAAATCACTTGTTTGAGTCATTCTTAAGTATTAGAAAATATGATTTTATGACCAAAAAATCAGTCACATTTGACTTACCTTGGAGAAAGGCCAGAGATCCGGCGAGTGGGTGTGCCTGTTTCTCCTTTGTCAAGGCAGCCACCCCTCTGCTGGATGGCCCAGCATGGCTCAGTTTGTGAGCTGCCACTGAAAGAGACCCTGTAGCTAACTGGGGATGGGAGTGAAGGGGGATTGGAGCCCTGGGTAAAGACTGACAGGGATATTTCGATTTGATTCTTCCTCTCCAGGTTTGATTTTATCCTTGATAATGTTGGTGGATCCACTGAAACATGGGCTCTAAATTTACTCAAGAAATGGTCAGGAGCCACATATGTGACTTTGGTGACTCCTTTTCTCCTGAACATGGACCGACTGGGCATAGCAGACGGCATGCTGCAGACGGGCGTCACCGTGGGTTCTAAGACATTAAAGGTAGGGATTAGAGTCTTGGTTGGTGAGGGCAAGCAAGTGCCTCATGCTCCTGGGAATTGGTTTCCACCTAGCCAGTTTCTTTCATCTTGGAGACAGCAAGCATGGGCTACCAGCATGGGCTCTGGAGTCACACACTGCCTGGGTTCACATTCTGGCCCCACTTAGTAGCTGTGTGACCCCTTGCAAGTCAATGTTACTAAACCCTGATGTCGTCTCCTCTAAAATGGGGCTGATAGGATATCTGCCCTACTTCATGTTGTAAGGATCAAATGAGGTAATCCATGCGAAGAACTTGGCATAATGTCTAGTTCATAACAAGCTCCTAATAAATGTTAGCCTTTATCATTACCATCTGATACACCTTCTGCTTTTTTCTTGCCTATACCTGATGGCCTTCTGTCTTCACTAGTATTAACACATACAGTCTCATATAGGAAGGGGAAAAAACTTTAAGACAATGCACAGTTGGGTGTTTTTATGTTAGTAGGATTGCAGTATGCCAGTGATTCCCAGACTGGGGCCTTCACACTTTTAGAAGTCCATGGGCAATTTTTGAATTTCAAAAACCTGAAGGAAATTGTATTCTTCAGTAAGACTACAGAGACTAATAGAACCCTCCTGCTTTTTCTGGAATTGTATTAACCTGTCCTTGCATGGCATATCCCACGTGGATCAGAAACTCTAGCTATTGATGGCATTCTGGGAGTTTATGAGACTTGATTAGTCAGCCTGACTTTTAACAGGGCCACTGTTACCAAAACTGTAAGGAGCCCTTACACCCAACTGAACACATCCAGTGTGTGGGGGACCTTGGAGACTAGCATAGATCAGCCTCCGTTACAGGACTGATAACGCAGACAGAGGCTTATGTAATTTCACGGTGTGCACTGTTGGTAATTATAGATCATTGGTTTAAAATCTGAATGAGTGATAAAATGGAATAAGTGATACAAAAAATGAAGGTAAGTTCTATTTAATTAACTAGACAAAATACTTTAGACTCCGGAAAAAGGCTGTAGAAGCCTTTTTACAGTAAGAGGTTGTGGGTCACTGTGTCAAGCCTGCCACCACTGACCCATATTTGTGAGACAACTAGCTCGATAATTATCTGTTTGTTTTTTTATTCTAGAAATTAATTTGGGACCTTTTGGGGAGTAAAATTTAGGACTTTGGTCTCTCAAATTCTGTGTCCCATGACCCACGCAGAGGTCCTAGAGGCAAACATACCACGCCGCACTGCGGGCCTCTTTATTTTCATTTGGTTCAGGCGGCAGTCAGAAGCAGTGTCCACAGGGTGTTTCGTGGTAGAGAGAGGAGTCTTAACTGCCCTTTGTCTCTCCTTTTCCTTTTCACAAAACCCGGGCTTTCTAAGGGCTTTAAAATATAAGTTTAAGTTTTCTATAAGATTTTTCAGCTTGTACTCCAGTGAGACCACTTACAGTTTAACCTTCAGAGCTGTCCTTTGAGAGTAAAACAGGCCTAGCCCTCTTCATTTTCCCTTTCCCCCCCACTTGAAAGATGATAGTGGTAATCTCATGTGAAAACCTTTTAAGTAGTTTCTGATGTCTTTCTGAGAATGTGCACATTTAAAGCCTCATTGTAATGCTCCAGGCTCTCCTGCCTGCTTTGGTTTACTCTCTCCTGTAATGGCCTGGAAAAAATACACAGATCCCTTAGAGAAGAATATAAAAATTCTGCTATTGCAAACCAAAAGTTTCACTTTACAGGGCAACCCGCTGTAAAGAAGTATAGATGTGGTGGTTGTGACTATTGCTGTTCCTTGTTTAAAACCCTAAACAATTGCCAGAATGTTTTAATTGCCGTTTATAAGGCCAGACCTTAGCAGGAAGTACATGAACAGGTCTGCGATTGTAATTAACTGGGCCCCCTCTAAGCTTGGGACAATCTCAGTGCTTCGAACTGTTTTGTTTTCCCTTTTCTTTTTTAAGTTAGTGACCTAGACCAGTGTTTCCCAACCTCTTTCATGCTCTGACCCACATAGGAAATAATAGTATTTGAAGAGAATATTGAGCAAACTGCCTTGCTACCCCAAGGGCTGATGGGAGTCCATATCTCATCACACCTGTTCTAGGGTAAGCTTGGTTCTGTTTGCATCTATGGTCTTGAGATACTTATTAATGGTGACTCCTTTAACTCTCAGAATTGTTCCAGGTTGGGCAATAAACTATAGGGTCACTCAGCTGAACCAGTAAGTGATTCCTGGCACACCCATTGTGAAGCTCTGCCTAGACAATAGCTTGGTTTTGTCTTTTATTATAGTCTGAAACTGATTTGATATTGTCCCAACCTTTCCTCAGTAAGCTTTACATTTAGCACTAGATCAATATTTATTGCATACTTTTTATGTATCAGGTACTTCACATACACATTCTCATATAATCCTTCCAACAACGCTGTGTGCTGCCAGATGTGGTACCGCCATCCTGCAGGCCAGGAAAGAGGCCGAAAGAAGCAGCTTGACCTACATAACACAGCGATAGAGGGCCTGAGCTTGCGTAGCCGGCGAGTGCCGTCGCACCTGCTGGCTGAGAGCCGCGGTAGGGGCTCACATCATGCCCAGGGGTTGGGCAGGGGAGCTCAGGGAGCAGAAGTCTGAGCCGTCCCAGCGGTTGTGGGCAGGTGCGGGGAGGAGGGCAGCATGGTCCTGGCCGCCTCTGGACAGCCGATGAAGTGTGGTAGGGCAGGCCGTCGGGTTGTTGTGCAGGACCTAGTAATAATAAATGAGGATTCAAAGCAGGTGTGCCAGGAGAGTGGTCATAATCCATCTTATTGTAAGATTTTTGTCTGGGGACATTTTGTCCCATAATAAATTAGGTGGCTTGGGACTTGCTACTATAACTATGGGGAAAGACTCAGCCTTGATGCATAAAAAATTCTACACTTTGTTTTGCCTTTAAAACAAATTCATGATTAGATTTCTTATCAAATGTCATATTTTGGTGCCTTATTGCCCCCAAAAGAATTCTTGAATTAGGTGAAAAGGTCTTTTCCGGTGCCTCTGGGCTCTACTTAGATTTTAGTAGAGAAGGCCTAGAGGTCTCAGCCCCAATTCCTCACAAGGGAGAGGTTGCATGCGTAAGACTGTCTAGACCCATTTAAGGAGAGCTTTCCTGTGCTTGCTTGCTTGTCAGTCACAAGTTGGGGAAGAAGCCTGAGTTCACATGGATATTTCTTTGGTCACTCATTCACTTACTAGACCTTTATGGACCATCCTCTGTCTGTCAGTCACTGTGCTGAGGTGCTGGGCCCACATCTCATCGTGTCAGCATGACATGGGGGACCGGTTTGTCTGTCTTAGTCATCCAGAAAATACTTGTCTCTAAATTTGCATTGAGTCAGTTTTATCCTTTCCTGTGTTTCACATGTCTTTTTTTTCCTCTTTCTTTTTAGCACTTCTGGCAAGGAGTCCATTATCGCTGGGCCTTTTTCATGGCCAGTGGTCCCTATCTAGATGACATTGCAAAACTGGTGGATGAGGGAAAGGTACGTGCAGCCTATTGCATTGCTTGAGGGTTCCTTGTCATCTCAGTGACCTGCCCAGCAAGCCTAGCCAGCGGGAACTCTGCAGAGGTAGGCTCGGCCAACATGCATGCTGCCTCCCACGGCCAAGTTGAAGTGCTTTACTTTTGGTTCTGTCTCCTTGGGAAGCAAAGACATAGACCGCTACATATGAAAAAGAGCTTACACCATCTAGTGTAACCCTCTTGGCTTATAGGTGATGAGGCAGACCCCGAGAGGCTATGTGATTTCCCAAGGACAGTTGGTTAGTGGTTAGCAGAGCTGGGCTCTAAAGCTGGGCTGCCAATGTTTCGGTGATGGCCCTGGAAGGAAGGCACCATGAAGGCAGTCGGCACAGAGGTGGGGGCACGCTGGTGAGTTTACAATAAAACTGCCTCTGGAGCTTCTTCAGACCAAAGGCGAGACTACTCTGGAGGTGCGCACACTTCTAGGTGGGCAAGGAGACCAAACACTGGAATCTAAACCCCGACAGAGCTGGACTAGAAGTCAGGTCCCCAGGTCTCCTGGGCCCCGGCTGGTGTAATACATTCGAGGGCCGATAAATGGCATGCCTGAGAGGGTCAATGGGCAGGACATGTGTGAGGACACACGGAGGCTTTGTGGGGATAACTGGTTGGTTTTCGGACGACCTGGGTCTGGCCTGCAGTGGGCATTGTCGGGGAGGGCTGCTGCGGATAGCCTGGTCGTGTGTTTTGGGGTGCCCAAAGGCCTAGCAGGGCTCTTGAGGGTTGAAAGGCTCCTCGACAACTGCCTATTTATTTGGGTTCTTACATGTTCTTAATGGCCTTGATGTCCCATCTCTGGAGGATAACCCAGAAGGAAAACTCATTTTGGTGCTGATATTTATGACTTTATTGAGAGATTGTATGGGATTACAGGATGGAGAACCCTATATACCTTAGAGGGCTGCACGAGGACACAGGTAAAATCATTCTCATTTTACAGATGAGAAAAGTGGCTCAAAGAGATGATGGGACATGCTCCTATGCAAAGGTGGGACCAGAACTGTTCTTTCTGACTTCAGGCCTGTGCTTTTCCTTCTCCAGCTGCATTCTTAGTGCTTAAGGTTCATCTGGGACTTCAGCTTAAGGTGTCTTTTCCTTGTCATTTTATAATGTGCAGGGAAAGGGATGGAGCAGGGCCAGCATGACCACCGCCTGATCCATGCTAAGCCACTGGCAAAGAAGCCTTTGAGATGGGCTTGCTTCTGCTGGCACCGGCCCCGTGCTGGCCCATTTTACCTTTCCATTTCAGTTTTGGAATGGAATGTCTTTTAGGAACTACTGCTGTTTATGCATTTAGTTTTTTAAAATTCTGTTACAGCCAAGCAACTAACTATATGATAGTAAAGACCTACTGCCCTCTCCCAGACCTTTTGGTTCCAAATTTGCATGCCTTTCCTCAGACTTCTGGGTCTTGATGTGCACTGGGCAGGCAGGGCCTCAGCCTTATTATGCCTGGGTAAGTGCCTCTTTGTAGGATTCTTCCCACATCCTTTGGGATGCTTATTTTATTTCCAGGAAGAATGGAATAAACTATCATTACATAATTTGGCCCACAAATCTACATAGTGCTCATGTGGTTGAAGCCCCATTATTAGCAAGATTCCTGTCCTGGGGAAATCCACCACTCAATCATGCTTGTCCTGATAGCTGCCACAGGCTGTTGACGTGCTTACCACTGCAGTTTTGTATTCAAAATACTGTCTCTTTCTCTCTACCTGGAAATTACTATTTACGAAACAGAGAAGAGAGGTGACCTGTGTATATGTACCTATTAGAATTGGCAGATAACTGGTAGGATGGCTAAAAAGGGCCATGGTAGGAATAACGATGTCCTTGAAGTATCCTCAAATGAGGGGAATGAAGAAATGTTCTTTTGGCCTTCTCCTGACAAGGGCTGTTTGGGCTTGGGAGTAATTTTTGACAGTGAAGGGCTCTGGGACTGTGGAAGTTGACATGTGACATTGGTTGTAACGATGAGGTCATCTCCCTGTCGTGCTTCCTGCTGCTTTGTGTGTGCAACAGGCCATTGCCTGCCTGCACTTGGAAATCAGAAAGGATAACCTAACAGGTCTCCTTACATATTGTGTGGTTTGTAAAGATTGTTAAAATGGATGAGGCATTGACATGCTTCCATACTTTGGCTGAGTGCTCAAGGACTCAACTTAGCAGGTATCTGGTACAGGAGCTATAGTTGTTTTTTGACACGGGAAGCCATGAACCAAAAGAGCCTACTCTTTTAAAACTTTTAAGTTTTTAAATGCATATATATTTCCAAGGTTCAACATTTAAAAGGTAGGAAAATAATTTCAAAAAAATCTTCCTTTGATTCCTCAGTCACTGAGATTCTCCCTGTCAGATACAACTAATGTTACCCATTTCTTGGGTATTCCAAAGATGTTCTGTGAGTCAATAGGCTGATACAGAGAATAGTTTGTAATTAGCATGTTGAGTGTAATGAATGGACTGCTGCTGAAACTGTGCCTTGTGCCTATAGTTTATTGCCATTTTTTGCTAACACTATAAACATTTCCTGTTTTTATATTATTTAGCAAACTTTTTTGTTGGGAGTGGGAGGGCCATATTATATTTGCTCTAAATATACTCATTGATTAGTATACTCGAAGATGAGAACAGGAAGAGCTAGCACATTCTAGTTTATGGTCCTCATCTCCCTCCATCCTGCCCCTGTGCCACATTTGGAGAAATTGAGGCCCTTAGAGAGTAAATGATGTGTTCAAGGTCACAGAGCTAGGCAGGGCCCAGGTCTCATGACCTCTGGGACATTTCCTTTTATCACCCTTTGCTGCCTTTAAGATTCGGGCAATAATAGCTAAAAAGTAAATCTCTCATTTTGTAGAGCCATCATTGTTTTCTGCTTGCTTAGCCATCCAGACATTAGACGGGTGGAGTCTGAATTCTGTCTACAAAACCCTCTTCTTGAGCCCCTCAGTGTCTTTCAGGACTGAGAGAAAGTGACGAGGCAGAGTCTTTCATCTGTAGTCAACCGCTGATAAAAATGACTATGCTTTGAGGGAAAATATTTATACATATTTGCCTTTATATGCATGTATTAGTTCCCTGTTGCTGCTGTTACAAATTACCATAAGTGTTGTGGCTTAAAACAACATACACTTACTGTCTTAACCGTTGTGGAGGTCAAAAGTCCAAAATGGGTCTGCAGGACTGCATTCCTGCAGAGGCAGGCTATGTGGGAGCACGGGCTTCCTTACCTTTTCCAGCTTGTGGAGAGGGCCTGTCTATATTCCTTGGCTCGTGGTCTTGCATCACTTTGACCTCTTCCATGATCATCTCTCTCCCTCTCTCTCTGACGGATCCTCCTGCCTCTCCCTTATAATGACCCCCATGATTACATTGGGGCCACCCAGCTAGTTCTCCCATGTCAAGATGCTGAACTTGATCTCATCTGCAGAGACTCTTATGTAAAGTAAGTTATCGTATTCACAGGTTTCGGGGAGTAGGATGTGGGCATCTTTGGAGGCTGCGACTCTGGCTACCACAAGCGTAAAATATCAAAAGATACGAAAGAAGTTTGAAATACCGGTTTTCCTTGAGGGGAACAAGATGGCCAGGGATCGAGTATGGGAGGGAGATTTGTCTATGTTCCCTTTCATCTTTTTGTGTGTGTTTCTTTGCACACTTTCCTTGTGTCATTATTGTCATGTACTTAATGTCCACAGGTGTGTTGAAGATCCTAGGTGACCAGCCAAGCTTCTTGGTTGAGCGATGACATAGATATATCTCTGTTTGTTTCTTTACTGTAGCCAACGTCAGAATAGTTTCTATATGCTCATTTGAATTCATTTCAAAACATTTTCTGCACGCCCCCTAGCACGCCCTTTGACCCCAGGGGGTGCGGAGAGCTGTAGTGACAAGGCGGAGGCTGCCTTCTGAGCGGTGCCGTCCACTGGGAGCCTCTGCAGTGAGAAGTGGAAACGTTGTGTGCGCTGTGCTGGTGGCAGCCACTGGCCACGTGTGGCTGAAGAAGACTTGAAATGCGGCCAGTGCAACCAGGGACTGAAATTTTCATTTTATTTATCAATACTTTTGATTAATTTAAATTCAAACAGTGGCTAGGTATTACCATATTAGACAGTACAGCTTTAGAGAAAAACACTAAGTTCTGAATCAGGCAGTTTCCCAGACCCCAACAGGGATGGCCGGGCCCTAATTTAAGCAATGAATTCATTCTAGAATGGTGGGCTCCCTATTTGCAGCTGGGTTTTTTCCTCCAGTGAAAGAACGTAGTATTAGGGATTGACTCCTAGGACACTAGAAGAGGGTTTTCTTGCCAGATAGGGCTGTTACCTCATGGCTCTCAAGGCTGATGCCACAGACATTTTTCTGATGCTACTGAAATTGTTTCCGTGGGGAGGTGTAGGTGGAGTTCTCTCTCCTCGCTTCTGGCAGGAAGGAGTGCCTTTTTTCAGGGGGACACGCCCTGGATGCTTTCCAGAATGGGTTCCTGTACTCCCCTGGGGAGAACGTCCCCATCCCCGCCCTCCTTCCTCAGCTCACCGCCTATCTTCCAGCTTTGTCTTCTGTCCAGGGCAGGAAGTTCCAGAAATAAACCCAAACAAAATTTGCCACTTCCTTTTGTCTTATTTATAGCTCCTTGGTTTAAACCCCCTTGTCCCCTGTCCCCCGACGCTGGAAGTAGTGAGCCTGTCTCATATGTCAGGGCCACCCTGTCCAAGAGGCAGCGCTCGAACCCTGGTCCTGTCGCCCCTGCCTGGGTCCCCGGTGTCTGTCCACAGGAGTGTAGACTAGGACTTACGCCAGGAGCCCTCAGGTCACCCGTGGTGGCTGTCATTCGTCTGTCTCTCCTCGCGCGCCCCACCCGCCGAGGTCTGCGGTTCCCACGTCCAGTGGGGGTGGAGGCCGGAGGGCCTGGGCAGGGGGTGGGCAGACTGGGCTGAGTGTCCCCCTGACACTGCGCTC